ACATTGATTCATTATTTGAATATGTATCCATTTCTATTTTTCTTTCATTTCCAATACAATTCCAATAAGTAAACATGGCCTGTTTCACATGTCTTCGAATTTATTTTCAGTTTGATTTTTAAAGCCTTGTCTTTATTTTTCCTCTACCTTCTCTCTTTCTTTAAATTGATAACAAATATACTAAATCCACTGATTTTTAAGAAAAATATTATCCTTACAAAGACCCATACAAAGAGGGTTACAAAGTGACGTCAATAAGAAGAAAAAAACAAAGCAAGAACGGAAAAAGAGAGAGACAGAGAGAGAGAGACAGAGAAATCATAAAGATCAATGGTAGCAATTATCTTTGTATGCCCCCTTTGTATTTGTCTTTGTAAGACTAACACTATTAGATTTTTAATCCAGGAAGGGTCCAAGATCTTTAAATTTCTAAAATTGAAGATTTCAATGCTAATTATTGCAAATACAATGCTGGACTCACAACAAGCCCGTCTAGCTCAGTTGGTAGAGCGCAAGGCTCTTAACCTTGTGGTCGTGGGTTCGAGCCCCACGGTGGGCGTATTATTTTCTAATTTTTGTCAATTTGTTTCCACATGGGCTTTCTTTTTTGTGGGCTGATGTTTATCTCTGCAGCCCTTTGAGTCCATTTCTTCTTTGTCATAATGGAATGATGGGCCTTTTCGTGGGCTTCAAATGCACCAACAAAAGACTATAGTCGATTATCGACTCGATAACATTATCACCAATAATCATACAAATTACCGTAATTAGATTATTAAACCATTGAAGGCTAACCCTGGTTTTAAATGCTTGATTGATTCATTTGTTTACTTGATAAGTGGGGATTAATATAAAATTAATTTCAAAGTCATCAAGCATCCTTTTCTCTTATTTCTTATACGAAAGAACCTAAAATGAGGGAGAGTAAAATTAAAGCATGAAAAAGAATGTCCCCTCTACATTAAATAAAAGAGTAAAAGACTAAATTGATGCAATTTATCAAGGAATGCTTTGTCTTCTCTCTATCTTAAATTATGATATTAAAATCACAAAGTACATTTTTTGTTTGGATTTGATTTTGAAACATATATTACCTAGATTTGAAGCAAACAATATATATATATATATCCATCCAAAAACCTAAATATTTTTATATCTTGCTTGTGGTGGATATATATATTGCCCAATCATCAAGCATTAAGTTGGTGGAGAACAAATCTTTTTATACCACAAACATATTCAAAAGTAGCCTAATCCATGAANCGTTCATTAATAAGGAATGACTATTCTATTTTCCTTTTGAAGGAATATGTTCTTTCATAAGGAACAACCATTCCTTGTGAAGGAATGATAGTTCATCCGTAAGAAACGATTGTTCGTGTCTAGTCAAAGTCAGTTAGTGTCTTGTGTGTGGTGGGAGCTGACATGACAGTTGTCAACTCAACTGTTACGTTGGGGTTATAAGAAAAGATTGTGAGATTGGGTTTTGGACGTAGTATTGCTTATTTTAACCAAAATGTGACATTTCATTGTAACAATGAAAGTTGTTGAGACTTGCGGTAGTTACAAGCAACAAAGACACCAATAATGGCGATTGACTGATTTGTAAATTGCCCAGTTGGCTCCTATAGCTTTACAGCTTAAATGTTCCTTGTCTCTGGAGTTTCTTGTTCTATGTAGCTTATAACATACTCACAGAAAAGTTCAATTGCAGCATAGCATGTTATTTTTTGTAGAAAGATGAGTATTTTGGCATGAACATGTTGGGAAGATCATCCCCTTTTGACCCTTCATAATTTTTCAGAGCAATGAACACCTGGAGTTTCGTTACACTTCATTCTTGAACAGCCTGTATCCATTCAGAGACAGACAAAATCATTTCTAAAGCAAATCAAGAATCTTTTTTGTTGAGGACCCATTATTTTATCATACTAAACAAGTATGATTAGGGTTCTAATAACCGATGTCTCAGGTATTGACTGTTCATTAATGTAACCTTGGATTCTATCCTAATTTCATGTGGCTCTTGATGAATGCAAACAGGATGATGATTACTTCTCCACTTGTCAGTTATTTTGTTCTTTGGTGGGTCAATTTGAGTCGGGTACAGTACAGTCCATTCCAAGTTGTATTATCATTATTGTGAATATGGCAAGAAGATGGTTGAACAAACAACCACTGTCAGGTACTTCCCATATGATGTAAGCCCCTCTTATTTTGTTTGCCATGCATATTTTGCAGCCTTCACAGTGCACAACCCTATCTCGAATAGTTCCCGGTGTAACACCCCGGCCCAGGTGGGCCTTGCCCTAGGGCAATTTAAAAAAAGCAAGCTCGGGTTCTAAAATCCGGGCCGGGCCAATCCGAGCTTGAGGCCCGAGTTTGGTATAAAATGATTAGGGATTTTGTTGAACTTTTTACTAGATGTATGGGGTCTACAACAATTTGGTTGGGACTTTATGAAAGGTAGATGTAGGGGTGTTCGTCGGTTCGAAACAAATATTTTTTACTAAATCCAATCCGATCCAAGTATATATTGGCTTTTAGATTATTCATTTGATCCAATCCAATTCAGTCACATCTATTTTAAGTTATATGTACAATTTAAACTTGAAATTACTAAAAAGTACATTTACATGACAATAGTGTTCATGATTAACTATCCACTATTTTTTTTTTCTGTTTGGATTCAGTCTTAAAATGTTGGGCTGATCCTAACTTTGTTCAACTTCGAAATTAGCCCAATGACCCCAATACTAGAAAATTTGTAGATGCATTTGTTGGCGGAATTGAACATTTTTTAAAGCCAATGAGAACCATTTCGGCATAATAAAATTTTAACCACTATTGGGATGGTCTGATGGTAAAAAAGCAAAAGAAGATCTAACATGATCTCCCAAGTTCGAATCGCTTTGATGATAAAAAAGTAAGAGGATGATCTAACAGGGTTTCCCGAGTTTGAGTTCTCACAGCCCTTAATAGAAGTGACCATTGAAGCTCTTATGTACCCAGTCAGTAGTTCCAAGGTCCAGGATGACTAGTTAAAGTGTACGCAAACTAGCTTGAACACCCCCAGTCATTAAAAAAAAAAAAAAAGGGCATAATTCATTACAATTATCTCAAAGGCCTAATATATCTTAATGTCAAAACAAAAAGATTAGATTATTGTAATTAAATATTAATCTAACTGAACACAACAAGGTTTAGGTATGTCTGATGGTTTTAAGAGTGAAGATGAAGAGAAATATTTTTTAATTTATATCTACTCAATATATAACTTCAAATTATTGGATAGATAATTATGATAAATTCAAAATTTAAGTCAAAATCGTTTAACCCAATTCATGAATTGGGTTATTCTTATTACAATTAATGGTTATGGTGTTGCTAACAAGTACTGAATATTCAAATAGGGCCCTTCGTGCTTTAGACATCTCCTCTTCATGAATCCTGATTTGGTTCTGTGTGGGGTTTGCCCCTAGCTGTGGGACTTGTCTCTCTTCCTCCACATATTGCCACAACCCATGACCTCTTAAATAAGTCTTCATCTTGACAACCCATACATGGAACTAATCTCCATTGAAGATGGGTGGAGAAAGTAAAGCTGGAGTTGCTGCCATGAAGATGATTACGTATGGTGTTGAGTTTTGTTAAGAGGTTTTTGTTTTTCCAAGTCCTGAAAGATCACAATAGCTCTGATACTAATTGTTGGTTTTTAGAGCTAAAGAGTACTAAGAAAAGAGGAACAAACAGACGTGAGAGAGAGCTGTAAAGAGAGAAAATCTGAACTGAAATTTTGCTCTATTTTGCATTCAAAAAATAAGGGTAATTTATACACAAAGTCAGTCCACTGTATCACCTAATGCAGTGGATATTTTAAGTTTGAATTTAATCTAAACACATACAAGTAATACAAGTACAAGCATTTCAAATACATTCCTTAATCAAAGCTGAATTCACCTAAACACATCACTAATGAACATCACAAAAGTCTTTCAAACAGTGACCAAAAACTACAGCTTCAGGCACAACACCATTTCAAACCGTGGCGCCAAAATCTTGCAACTCCCACCGTCTGTTGACTTTATCTTTTCCAGCAAGATATCATCATCTTCAACATATTTTTCTCTTATTTATTTTGATTTTTGAACATGGAACCTGATAATATAACAAATCTTTTATTGAAGATAAAGACAGCAGAAACCTTCGAGAAATAAAAGGAAGAAAGAACAGAGACATACGATACGAGTGCACAAATCAGTGTTNCTCATAAAGAGGACATTAAGACAAAGACAGTAGACTTGTGGCAGTATTGTCAGTCTCTGACATTAAACTAGCTCGGCCTCCTTCTAAAATCCAAATCAATAAATGCATATGGTCCAACCGTTACCCAATCACAATCCTCGTTACTTTGCATTTTATTTGAATTTATATTCATTACCTACCCTCATGTCCACCGATTATATGGATATCAACGGTTCTTGATGATCAATTTTAGTTTTCTTTTGACCTTCATCACTTTTAACGGAATGATCCAAGGGTTGCTACGGCTTATCGTAAGATTGTGTGTAGAGGATCAACAAGTTTTGAATTCAAACTACTCTCTTGGCATCTCGGGTTTGAGGCGGCTATAAACACGCGCCTGTTGGTTACGTCAGTGACCATCCATAAACGACAACGTGGCGCCGATGCTGTTTGAAATATTGTACTATTTATCTCATTATTTCATTTAAATAATTATGTTATATTATTTATTTATATGTTTTGAAATATTTATATTAGCAAAGAATTTAAAATTTGAATTTGTATCTATTTATTTTATTTTTATTTTATAAAATGCAGCACAAATATCTTTTTAAACTTCCTTTACAGGAGTTGCCAAACACAGTCATGGTCAACCCAAGTCCGCATTCTCTTCATCAACTGAACTACATTACTAATATGCAACTGAACCTCTAAGAAATCCAATGCTCATTAGAGAAGTCTACTAATCCAACGGCCATCTTAAATTGCAATTCAGTCCAACAAGAAAAATCAGAACAAAAATCTTTTCTCTCTTTTTGAGTTTTCCCATATAGTGAGTACACACTCCCACTGAGAAAGTATGGACATCTCTGCATCTTTGTCTCTTCCACTGTTCCACACTATTTTTCCCTTTGTCATAGACAGAGAAAGAGTACTGAACACGGAGAGAGAGACAGAGAGAGAAAGGCAAAACAAAAGCTAAGGAAGAACATTGACCAGAGAGACACCAAGATATCTTTTGCCATTTTTGAACCAAAACCAGACATGGGTTCTAAGCTATTTCTCTTCTCTCTGCTTGTTCTCCTCATGATCCAAACATGGGTGGTTTCTGCAAACGTAGAGCTGAGAGCACTCATGGACATGAAAGCATCTTTAGACCCGGAAGGCAGGTATCTCTCTTCATGGAGCATCCATGGTGAGCCGTGTGATGGTTCGTTTGAAGGAATAGCATGCAACGAGAAGGGCCAAGTAGCCAACATCTCTTTGCAAGGAAAGGGTTTGTATGGCAAGGTGTCTCCAGCTATTGCCGGCCTCAAGCACTTGACTGGACTGTACTTGCATTATAACTCTTTGTATGGAGATATACCACGTGAAATAGCCAACTTGACTGAGCTTACCGATTTGTACTTGAATGTGAACAATCTCTCCGGTGATATTCCTCCTGAGATCAGTAACATGGGCAGCCTGCAAGGTTAGTTGCTGGTTTTGTCTAATATATAATCTGAGTTATATTGTTTTATTCTCTTGTTCATGGTTAGTATTGGATTCTGTTAAAAGTTTTGAACTTTATATATTTCTTCTTGTTTTGATACAATTTGGTCTCTTTTATTTTAATAGCCAGTCTCTTATTCTGTCTCTCAAATGGATGTTCTTATTTTGCTCAAGTTGATAATCTTCAAGGTTTCCTTTACTGTTTGATGAACCTGAAAACAGTCTAAAAAATTTCTCTGTTTGTATTCTGATAAAAGGTATGAGTATACATATAAGTAAATTATTCCACTATAAATCTGACCAATATAAACTCTTTGCCTTGAATCAATGTAAAATATTTTCTTCTGAAAAGTCAAACAGTATAGAACTTAAGTAAGTTTTTTTTTTTTTTTCTCTGGACGCTTAGTTCTGAAGACTGAAACTTGTATGTTCCATATATGTTCGTTCATTTTTTTGGTTAACTTCAGTGGTGTGTGCTTTCTCTGAAAACTTTGAAACTTTGAAACTTGTATTCAACCTTAGTCTTATTTTGGGTTCTGCATATGCTTTGTAGTGTTGCAGCTTTGTTATAACCAGTTAACAGGAAGCATACCCACCGAGCTAAGTTCCTTAAAGAAGCTTAGTGTTCTTGCTCTCCAATCTAATCAACTCACTGGTGCAATTCCTGCAAGTTTAGGTGATTTGAGTATGTTAACGAGGCTAGATTTGAGCTTCAATCACTTTTTCGGTTCAATCCCCCAAAAATTAGCTGATGCTCCTGTTCTGAAAGTTTTAGACATTCGAAACAATACTCTCTCTGGCAATGTGCCTCCTGGTAATCAAGTTTCTACAGCTTACCTTTTATATATTCTATTTTTTTGTTGATAATTTCTCTATATCTAGAAAAAATTGACTGAAACTTGATTTTATTTTAATGTGGTTTATGAAGCTCTGAAGAGACTGAATAAAGGATTCCTATATGAAAACAATCTGGAACTTTGTGGCGTTGGGTTTTACTCGTTAAAAGCTTGCAGTGCTTCAAGTAGCATCAATCCTAGTAGACCTGAACCCTTTGCAACGGGTACAACAAGAGACATACCAGAGACAGCAGATTTGCGGTTGCCTTGCAATCAAACTCAGTGCTCAAATCCATCCAAATCTCATCATGCATCTGTTGTTGTTGGTGTAATCGTTGGAACCATAGCTTTATTAGCTATAGGAATTCTGACCTTCACACATTATCGTCGCCGAAAACAGAAGCTTGGGAATGCATTTGATGTTTCTGATAGCCGTCTTAGTACTGACCAGGCCAAGGTGTTTTATAGGAAGAATGGCTCTCCTCTTATTAGCCTTGAGTATGCAAATGGATGGGACCCGCTGGCCGATGGTAGGAATCTCAATGGATTTTCTCAAGAAGTCTTCCAGAGCTTTAGGTTCAATCTTGAAGAGATTGAGACAGCTACTCAGTACTTCTCAGAGGTAAATTTGTTGGGCAAGAGTAACTTTTCGGCGACCTATAAAGGGGTTTTAAGAAATGGGTCCCTTGTTGCTGTAAAGAGCATCAGTAAAACTAGCTGCAAGTCAGATGATTCTGAGTTTTTGAAGGGACTAAGCATTTTGACATCCTTGACACATGAGAATATTGTTAGGTTGAGAGGATTTTGTTGTTCAAGGGGCCGTGGAGAGTGCTTTCTCGTTTATGATTTTGTTTCCAATGGAAATTTGCTTCGCTATCTTGATGTGAAGGATGGTGATGGCCATGTCCTTGATTGGTCCACTAGAGTATCTATTGTCAAGGGCATTGCCAAAGGTCAGTTTCCCCTTCAAATAATCTGAGTTAAGATTTCATACATATTATTTACTATCTAAGCTTTGTTCTTCTTTTCATTCTTTTTTATTTTTTCTTTTTGCTGGAGCAGGTATAGCATATTTGCACAAGTACAAAGTGAACAAACCTGCTCTTGTTCACCAGAACATTTCAGCTGAGAAGGTGCTCATCGACCAGCTATACAACCCATATCTATCAGATTCTGGCCTGCCTAACCTTCTTACCAATGACATTGTCTTCTCAGCCTTGAAGGCCAGTGCTGCAATGGGTTACCTGGCTCCTGAGTACACTACCACTGGTCGATTCACAGAGAAAAGTGATGTTTATGCATTTGGGGTGCTTGTTTTACAAGTCCTCTCAGGGAAGCGGAAAGTCACTAGCCTGGTCCGACTTGGAGCTGAGTCAAGCAAATTCCAAGATTTTATTGACCCAAACCTCCATGGAAAGTTCTTTGAACATGAAGCAACAAAACTTGCAAGAATCGCTTTGCTTTGCACCCACGAGTCTCCTACTGAGAGACCATCTATGGAAGCGATTGTCCAAGAATTAAGTAACTTTAGTAGTTGTTTCTAATTTCCATTACTTCAGTTCTCAACCATTGCCTGAACAAGTTTCTAGCAGGTAATGGCGGGATGAGGATGAGTGCGGCACTAACTACTCACTGATGATGGAACTTTAGTAGTCTTCTTGCTGAGGACTAAGCTTTGTTGTTGATGTAATTTTAGGCAGGCTTGCTAAGCCTTAAAAGTGAAAAGGGGGGTTTTTTCATCTGTGATATGAAACTGTAGCAACCTGATATTTTACCCTCCAAGATTTATGTAGACTTCTTAATCATTGTACATCTCAGTGAAACTGATTATCTACTAGCTGTACTTCATATTTGTTGAGCCTTTGGAATGGTGTTATCTTGATGAATGCCTTTCTAATATTTTGAAGTATTAGAAGCTGCAAAAAGTGCAACTATTTTATCTAACCATTTGGCATTGCTTTGGAAAGTACTTAAGCTTAAAAATTGTCTATAAACTCTGTTCAGACTTCAGCCTGTTGAAAGCTTATCTGATATAATAAGAAATGCGTATGTATCACAGTATGAATTCCACTTTTGTTACTATTCAAATTCACAATCAACCAAACAGATAATATTTCAAAAAGACTGCGTTTACAACTCAATTTCATAACCTTCTCTTACANAGATATTTCATTGAAATTATATCTTTTAAACTCCATAGACAAAATTTTCAATATATTTATGACGTAACGAGTAACGTGATAAAACAAGGCTAGCACTCGACTACGCCTTTAGAACTGATAACACAAGTCTCAATCCAGAAACTTAAAGCTTAAAATCGAAAAAGTCAAATAATTTATTGAATCCTCTCCTAAACGAAAAATAGGTTTATATAGGGTGACAACCAACCCTAATAAGACTCTTAATAATAACAGGAAACAAAAACTAAATCTATTAAAACAAGAAAATCAGAAATAAAATAGGAAAAAACGCGCAATTAACTAAAACAGCCTCGAAACATGCCAAAATAATGAATTTTGACCTCAAAAATGACCTCCAACCAGCTAAAGCAATTGCCACGTCGACGGGCTCGAAATAAACTTTCCAACGGTATCTTACAAACTCTGTAACTCTTTCCGGATCAAAAGCTATGACCATTTGAATATAGCATACTCATTTAGGGCCTTTGAACTTTACGCACGGACTTTTAACGTTTAATCCGCTCGATGAATTCATCCGCTAGACGTTCTACGTCGATTTATACCAGATATTTTATTGAAATTTTATTTTTTTAAATCTATAACGTCTGCAGCTAAAAATATCTGTGTTTGTATATATTATAATACCGAAGAAGAGATTCAATTTGATGCATTTTTATTGTTTAAAAGTGTTTTTATGTATAGAAATCGCCCACATGAGTATTTTCATATATTAAGCTGTACAACTTGTTGTGCTACAGTGGAGTCCAGTTTGTCAAACGATAGTTTTTCACATATAAAAAGCCGGAGAAGAATGAAAAAGAATGTAAAGAAAAGTAGGGTTAGCTCACCATAAAGACAGTTGTTTTCTTCAGGATTTGCTTTTGCAGCAGCCAATTTTAGCTTAGATATAGTTTACCTAATCCACAGTGTATAAAAACATATTAATTTGACGATCAATTTGTACTTAGCTGTGTCGGTCTTCTCGGTTGCACATTCCGAAAACTTTTGCTTCTTAACAAAAGCTAATTAGTCCAAGTAAACTTTGATGTCAACTTCATTATTTTAATTATCAAATATTGATCATTTCAATCATTCAGCTCTAGCTATTTCAAGATATGTAATGCTACCTATATATATCTCCATCGATCTCGATCTCGATCTCTTGACTTTAAATATCTTA